CACATATCATGCTATAACTGATATGTGTCATAGCACACATACATATACATACATATGTATGTTTATGTGTGCTATGTTCCATATCAGTATAGCATATGTGTATAAATGTAAGTGTATGTGTGCTGTGACCTATATCAGTATAGCATATGTGTATTTCAGACATTTGTAACGAACCCCTGTGGTAGATCCATGTGGTCCCGTCTTATATTCAAAATACCGTCGAACAGCCGAATGTCATATCAAATGTTTCGTCCTTTCAAGCCACATCAGGTTTCCTGTCTAATTCGACATTCAATTACTTCAGCTTCACATTCCAGAAAATCTAGAACCTTGAAATTTAGCGCATCTCCACATCGAGCTAGTAAAAACATGGCTGCCGTAGATTCGCAGCTGAGCCTGTGCACTGCGTCTAAACATTATTCTTCCGCGATGACGCATCAAAAAATGTGATATCTTATGAATTTATCAACAAAAAATATGTTTTGTGTTTTGTTTTTACATAATTTGGCTGTATTGAACTATCAACGTACACCATCATGTTGTATGATGGTCCTTCAATGACGGACTATATTGTATTTACATTACGGCAATACGTAGACTTGCACAAGCTCCAGAACCTGGGACAAACGATCAGAATGGACTTCACAAGTCCCAAATATTGAGGAAAAAAACACATTGATTGAAATATAAGGATTGAATCTTGCTTTGGTCGATTTCATAGGGTGATGAATTGAGTTGCTTCGCAGTTCATTAAATTGGTTTCAAGACCAACTCAATTCATCACCCCATGAAATCGACCAAAACAAAAGTCAATCCTTAAATAATACATACTTGTTACAAGTGTTATTTCTATTATTTCTTTACAATACAATTGTATTTTTAAATGTTTTCTGTGTCCAGCACCTGAACTTTTTAGGCTAACTCAACAATTAAATAATTATAGTTCGCTACATTATGAACAATGCTATCTTACGTCAACGTGAGGTTCAGAAACAGCTTCGATTTATATTTTTACTATCGACTATAAGACGTATATATTTTAAATGATTTATACAGTTTCAATTGTCAATTGACAATCAACCCATTTCATGATTTCCCCCAGCCGTAGTAGAGGTATATTCGAATTATCTCCCTTCCTTCCACTTTTCGGTAAATATCGATAACATGCGAAATCACATATCCTTTAATACTTGTTAATCGTCTTGGAAACTGCCAGGATCATACAAGGACGTAAATATAATACATAGAATTTGCATATCGATCCTTCTGTTTACATTTTAACAACAAAGGAAACGCAAATATAGGATTTATTAATTTTTCATACACTAAAACATATTTCTCCTCCTTTTGGCGTTATTTCGTTATTTAGCTTTGGCGCTTTGCCGTCTTTTTGTCTTTTCGCTTTGGCGCTTTGGCGTTATTTCGTCTTTTCGCTTTGTTGCCTTCCGGTTCTGGATATTAAAGAAACGCTATCTTCGTGATTATAGTTCCCCAATGACTTTGCTAGTGAAATGGAAATTAAAATGCACAAATGTGACTTATGTTTCAGGTTTTTAGGAAACATTTTACAACAACAATGATTAATATGTTTATCATTGTTAAATCAAAGAAAACAAATAAATTCTTATGTCCTTCTGTTCGTCTATCCGCCTGTCTGTCTTCTGTAGGTATGCTTTATGTATTCCAACCAACATAATATACTTTTGTTATAAGTTGAACAATAAGAAGCATGTACGTGATTACACGTATATGTATCCTATATAGAATAGGAGGTTGTTTATACGATGAATTTCGTCGATGAAAATAGTTTTGATTTGTTCTGTTTTATGTTATTTTCCCGATAAAGAAATAATGTCATTACATTCTGCATAGTTATACCCGTGTGTTATGTATTTATTTTAGGAGAGGGCGTCAAATGTATGCGATGCAAGTACCGAGTTTTCTTTTTGTAAAATTTGTAAAATTTTATCATGTTTTGACACATAAATATATTTAAACTTTATACGACTATAATAGCGGTAGCACTCGTTTTAGCATGGAGTCGGCTGCTGGATAACGAAGCTACTAGGTAGTGAAGCGGACGTAAAACAAACAATTGAAATCGGACCAATAGTGCGTGACTCGATTGACGCAGACAAGCTCCGCCCAACAGGCAATGCCCAACCAATTGTCGGGTTGCATCAACGAGGAGAATGATGAGGGAATTTGAGTCTGTTTAAGTTTCATTTCCTGAATTCCGGAACCTAAACCCAAAGAATGATATTATTTGCTGCATTGAACTCTATATCTCCGACAATTGTTCTCCCGATATCGCACAGGTGACGCTTTCTTGCTGTTGTGATACTCTGCAAAGAACATTTATTGTACAGTCTAGATTAGCCTTCCGTCATTCCGGCTGCTAGTCGTTTTTACTTAATTTAAGCCGTCAACTGTTCTCAATTTCTGAAGGGTTAGAACTAGGTCTACTTTAATGATATGAAAATAATCTTTAATTGAGTTTACGTACTTAGAGAATTTAAAAGTCAAATTTCTCAAGGAAGACTAACCATATTTTTATGGTAGCTCCGGGTTCGAGTCCCGGTCCGAATTTGTTTCACCTGCTACAGTTTACTGTCGAACTTGAGGGTCATGCTATATTCTTTAAATAATAAAACTCAAAAGTATTTAAGTTAAGAAACTGTTATAACAAACCTGAAAATTTCTCCACGCCCTATGACGTATGAAGGATTTCAAATTAGGGATGTAGACCTATCAAATTCAAAGCC